TATTAATGTCCTATGTTGTCCGGGCTTCTTGGTGTTGGCTAGCTTTGATAACACATCAACTCATTCATTATGCTCTTTGGGTACAAGAGGGATGTTTGTCTTTTTAAAGTCTTTCAATAGATTTTTGGCTATGTGATAATATTTTTTCTTGGCGAGTTATTTAGTTTAGAAATCTCCCAAGATTTTTCTGGTGATGAGCTTTGAGTTTCTCTAGCATAGTAAGTATTTAACTCCCATCTCTTTGGCGAGTCTTAAGCCAACAATAAAAGCTTCGTACTCAACCTAGTTACTCGAGGTTGAGAATCCAAATTGTAAGGTTTATTCCAATATGATGTCATTGCGTCCCTCGAGTAGTATCTCAGCTCCATTTTCTTTTTTATTAGATGATCTGTCTATACTATTCATATATTTTTCTAAGTGCAGGTAGTTTTATTAAGAAATGTGCCAAAAATTTTGTCATTGGTTCTCGACTTTCAAATCACAAGTTAAACTTGGATAGTTCGATTAACAATGTTATCATTTGTCCAACCATTTGTGATTTATGAAGTACTTTCTTAATTGTGTAATCAATTTTGACAAAGATATTAAAGCTTTGAAAGTATGATCGTACTCTTCTTGCCAAGTTTATCAGCATTAGTGCCAATTTTTCTATTATGAAGTATTGTTGTACTTTTCTTTTGTAAGATTCGGCTAGTGAAGTACACCGATTTTTGTTGTTTGTCATCGCAGTGTACTGATACCGAACTAATGACTAACTTTGTGACTATCATGTAAAGGAAAATGACGAATCTTGACGACGGATTTATCAGGTTGATAATAATGTGATGTCTTTTTTAATGGCTTGGAACATGGCTTCGCATGTCGCCATTCAATTGAATTTTCTTGAGTTTCTCACTAACTGAAGAAGGCTTGGCTTTCTCGGCTAACTTCGACAAGAATCTGGCTAGGGTTGCATGCTTTCCATTTAGTTGTTGCACATCCTTTATGTTTTAGGGGCTTTGCATGTTTAATATAGTGTTGTACTTGTTTGAATTTGCCTCGATACCCCGCTAAGTGATCATGAATCCAAGGAACTTCCCTCCTTCTACATCGAATACATCAAATACCCTTTGCAAGTGAGTGGGGTGGGTGACCTGATTTTTGAATTTGTTTACCAAGTTGTCTATATAAACTTCTACAATATTCCCAATGAGTTTTTTGAATATTTGTTCCATTAGTCTTTGATAGGTGGCTCAAACATTCTTTAATCCGAAAGGCATTAGTTTACATCACTAATTCACATCTTTCATGATGAAAGTCATTTTCTCTTCATCTGGTGGGTCCATCCTTTTTTAGTTATAACCCAAGTAAGCATAAAAGAAACTTAGGATGTTATAGTTAGATTCATTGTTGACCAAGTGATCAATGCTCGACAATGAGTATGAATCTTTTGGATAGACTTTGTTAAGATTCGTGTAATCGGTACACTTCTCCATTTTTCATTTGTTTTTTTGACTAAAACTATGTTGGCTAACCATGTAGTATATGATACCTCTCGAATGAAGTCGGCCAACAAAAGTTTGCCGACTTCTTGTTCTACATCTCGCTTTTTGTCATCTTTTAACTTACGTTTTCTTTGAGTTATCAGTCTTGCTTGATGCAAAATTGATAATTTATGCAAGATTATGTTAGGATCAATACCTGGCATGTCGGCTGCACACCACGAGAATAGGTCGGCATTATGTGTAGGACTTCTTCAATTTGCTTGTGGGTAGTCGTCTTGGTTGTGTTATTGATGTGTGTGACTTAAGACATGTCCTTTCGAGTTGGAAATCCGATATGTCTTCATCAAAAGGTAGGTTTGTTTCCATATGCTTCTATTCGCGGGTCAAGGTCAAGTCTTTTTATGTTGTGTACTTGCGTGCTACTTTTGTCTTGTAGCACCGAATATGGTTCAACTTTGATACTCGAATTTTCTTTAGGTGTGACTTTATTGATATCACAAAGTTATTATATGCAGAGGGAAACTTCATCATCATGTGAGAGGTTGACATGATTGTCCCTAACTGGTTCAATGTTCATCTTCCAATTATTGTATGAGGTGTCCACCTCTATCAATATGAATCATATTAAGGATGTACTAAGTTGTGATTCTGAAGGTGGTTAATATATTTATATAGCCTTAGGTGTGAACTCCCTCCCCTACAAAACCGAGCAAAAGGTCTGGGTATAGATGAATCAGGTCGTGTGATATTGCTAATTTAAGATATGTTGACTAGTACAACACATCGGTTGAGCTCCCTTGATCAATTAATGTCTTCCTGACCTTGTAGTTAGTTATTGTGACTGTAACCATTACTAGGTCATTATGTGCTACATCATACTTCTCATTATATTCGAATACTGCCAAGATATTAGGTTTGAGAATCTTAACAAATATTGTATTTAATTATTTAGAGTTGGTTAGGTACAACACACATTATTTATTCCATCTTATTTTTCTTGTTAAAAATAAGAAGATGCCACTTATTTATTATAGTCACCATGAATTTTAGATCATGATTCATGTTAGTATGCTAAATTTTTTATTTATTATTTTTAAAAAGACACCCTTAATTATATATTTTTAATTCATTTGTATTAATTAATATCTTTTGTTATATAAATTAAGAAAATCAATATATTTACATATTAAAATACTCATTTATAATTATATAGTGTAAGTTTAATTTGTAATTATTTATGATTTAAATAATATTATAATATATTTACATATTCTAATATTATAACATAAAAAATTATAATTTTTTATTTTAATTTTAATATATAAATTAATTTTTAAAAGTAAGGCAATCTTATCTACCTCGATCTTGACTTATCAAGACTCTACATCAAGGTTATATGAAATAGATGGATTATATGAAATGAAAGAAAGTGAAATAGTTATTTATAACTACTAACCGGTCCTCTAATTTAAGAAGACGAACTAATCTATCATACTTAATTTTTTTATCTTTAATTATAAACTTTAAATTAAATTATTAAACAACACAAATTTATATTAACATTTTTCAAAATATTAAAATACTAATGATATATTTAAAATTTACAAATTAGTCACCTTAAAACTTTTAAATTTACAAATACAATGACGTATCTATAAATTATTAAACAAAAGTAAGACAATCAAAATAAAAACTTTAACAATATTAAAAAAATCTAATTATAGTTCCTCCTGTACTACATAAAGATAGGCTTTGTATAGCAAAATAAACCTAATATATAATATAAAAAATTAAAATAAAACTATCATAAAGAAAATATATTGTTCGAATTAATTATTTAATATGATATAGTAATTTGTGTATATTTTAAGAATATTTTTAAATAAAAGTGATTTATTGGGATGTTTAAATAAAATACTAATAATTTAAATAAATGTTTTATTAAAAATATCTTATTTATTATAGTAAATTATTTTAATTTTTTATAGTTATTTCGTAAAATAATTTATAAAAATAAATAAAATAAAATAAATAGGAAAATAAAATAAAAGAATTATTTTTAATTATTAAAAAAATAATCGAATAAAATTTATATTTTACATTAATATTCTCTCAAACGTTTTTATATATATATATATATATATATATTATTTATTTATTTTTGTCTATTAAAATATATTTTTGATATCCCAGTTTTCTTTTTCTTTAAGTTACGTCAGTTACCTACGTATAAATTATAATTATTTCTTAGTAGTTGAATAATACATTCTTGTGACTATTATGGTAGATCGATGATTTTAATTGGTTAGTTGATTTTGCTCAATCTGTTAAGGATAAAAAAAAGAAAAAGTAAAGTAGGTTGATCTGTTTTAAAAATATATTTATATAATAAAATTAAAAAATAATTATAATTATAAATATTTTTTATGTTATATTATTGAAATTCATAAATATAATATTATAATTTAAATTATAAAAAATAATTAATTAAGTTTAAATTATTTATTATAATTAAATATATATTTTAAAAAAAATACAAATAAAGATTTTATATAAAAAAATAAAAATTATTATGAAATTAGCCCACTGACCCGTGGCCTGCCTTTGACGAAAGAAGAACTGATATTTGTAACCGATGCTAATCGCAGCCCATGAAACCGTGTTTTTGACAAATTAGGGAGTATAAGAAACAAAATAAAACGCAAAGGGGTTGATCCATTTAACTTACTCTTCTCATCTAACAACCAATATTATAACATTTAAATCAACTTCATAATCCAACCATACATCACCATCCACCCAAAAAAAGGGAAGAATGCAGCTCGGTGGTCCATTATTGGCTAAGTTCATCCTTCACTATTCACTCACGAGTTCGCCACCTGATGGTTTCTTCACAGTTTAGATTATTGCCACTGCCACTGTGTGTGGTAGATGAATTCATAACTCAATTCTACAAATTTAATTTTACAAAATGATTTCAATAAGATAATATTAGTAATTATCGATGCATTATAAGATATCATATTTTAAATATTTTTACTTTAGATCTTATAAATAAGAACAACATAGTGTAAATAGACTTTTATTTAAATTATGTCATTTATTTTATCCAATTATGACACGTTTATATATTTCAGTTGTTACTATACTATCATATGGCATGAATTAAACTTCAACGTCAAATTTCAAATGCAACCGCAAAATAAAATAAAAAAACTATCCATATTTTATATGGTCCAAGTTGTTAGGACATGTTGCTAACCTCCCAATTACATAAATACTGTCACAAAAAAACATGCCATTGTACGGTCCAGCCCAAAGTGGGCTCCTATGTCTTTTTCCCTTGTCACTTTCATTTTACAACAATGCCAGATTGTCATAGTGTCTATTTTTTTTTTTTTTAATTTTTCAATTTTTAGATGACAAAAAAGGCTATTTATAGATGACAAAATAAGAAACCTTCTCATAGTGTAGCTTGGAAGATGAGGCACACTTTGTTTACCAATTATGGAATAGCTAAAATTGTGTATGATTAATGTTGGTATTAAATTGGTAATGGTGGGTGGTGGAATGAAGATAGGCTTGTGCCAACCTAATGCCCAAATGAACTTGAGCCATGGTGGTAAGGTGAAGTTTATCTGCCTTTAGAGGCAGTCCCTTTGCATCCACACACTTCACATTTCCCATTGTCATTCCCATTTGACCATGCCTCACCTTCTCTATCAACTTTCCTTCCCCTGATGCAACTGCTACCTTCATAATCAACCAAGACACCGATTACAATCAACTTATTAACCAACAATCTTCAGTTTGAGTAAATTAATTATATAAAAAAAATAACTATTTCATACTTCAAAATATGATTATAAAAAAGGCATTATTTAAGTGTATAATTAAACAAAATGGTATGAATGTTTTTGGGTCCATAAATTGGTACGGATTACACACAATAAATTTTCTTGCAAGTTGGAGGCTTCAAAAGATGGCCCACATGTGCTATATGAACAGTCATTATCATTTTTTGTTGTATTCTGTTGATTTTTGTATAAAGTGTCAAGACCTTCAATGTAACATTTATGACTTATATTATTAAAATGAAACTATAACTTAAATTAAAACATCATAACTTCAAAACTATATCTCACAAAAAAAATTGTGGTGAAAACATGCCAACGGATACAAATTTTTTAATAATGTCTTAAGCACTCAACAATAAGTAAATAAATAATTTTTAAACTATAAAATATTAAAATATAAATAAAAGAAAATTTTTTTAATGCTACATGAATTTTACTTAAAATTAAAGTGAGATGTCATGAAAACAACTTGTAATGTCAAATTGTTTTAGGTATATTATCATTAATGTCTTCTCTTACTAAAACAGTAATTTTAAAAAAAATTATGATGATATGAATTAATTTTCTTAACAAAATTGACTATCAAGCATATCATATAAAATATTTGGAAAAAGTACGTTTTTTATTCATATATATTTTAAAAAGAAATACTTTCATTCTTACATTTATAAATTGAATAATTGGATTTTCTAATTTTTAAAAATATATGATTTTAGTCCTTTTCTATATATTAATTAATAAATAATTATGATATTTTACCTTAATAAATTTAATAAAAAAACTAAATAAAATGCTACTTTTTTTATTTCTAAATTTTATTTAATAATTTTATTATTATAAATTTGATAAAACGATTAAACTTATATAATTTTATTTAACTTTAAACATTAATTTAATAAGTTTTAAAATATAAAAATATAGGGGAAAAAAACCTTAACCTTAGGTATTTTTCATTGTAATTTATTTTAAACAAATCACATCCAATACAAAAATAATTAATAATTTGAAAATAAATAAAAATAAATTATTTAAATACAGAACTAAATCCACATAAAAAAACACTAAATAAAATAATTATGTTATTATTATAAAACCTCATTTTTATATATAAATTTTTTATAATAATATAATGATAAAAATATAATATAACGAAATATTATTATTATTAAAATTATAAGATGATTTGATATACATTAAAAAAGAGAGTAGTTGTCAAAATATATAATTTTTTTTCGGTAGATAAAGACAGTAAGAAGAAGAATGAGATGTACCTGGATAAAGAGGAGAGAGGGAAGGTGAAGATCGAATCGAAGGTCCATAATAAACCTCTCCATCTTATCCTTATATCCATCCGCATCTTTCTCTCTCACCGTGTCACTCTCTCCTTGATACCAAAGCACGCCGCGGATCATGCCACCACGCATCGCATGCTTCACACGTCGCACCAACTCTTCGTACAACCGCGACCCGCGACTCCACTCTCCAATCGTCGTCCCACCCACCGCACAAGGCACCAGGCCCACAAGCCCATTACCACCGCCCCGACTTCTCAAAACCTCGTTCGCAAACGCCATCCCGGGCCCAACCCCACACGTCTTCTTCACATCGATGTCCGCATGCAGAGGCTCACGGGCCTCCTCCCACTCCAGCCCCGCACTCAGCCGCCAAACCCATGGGCTTGGCCCGCACTCCGCCGGCACTTTTCCGTCCCATTTCCCCCCAACCACGCCACCTCGTCCGGCCATGTTACTCTGTCCCGCCAGCACAAAAATGTCCCTAGAAACCTCCCCTAACCCACCGCCCACACCGACCATAACCCACATAAACATTAACAACAACAAACACATCAAATCCATAATAATCGATCTAGTATTTCACAGTTTTATCATCTCCTTATACAATAACTAATTTAAGACCCCATAGCAATTAGGTTTCTCGCGTGCTTCATGTGGGACCCACGTTGAACTAAGCAGCCATGATTGAACATTATGTACGCATCGGAAAATTAATTGATGTCTCCTCAAGAGTGAATGAGTGCATCTAACGTCTCCTTTATTCCAAAAATCTTTGCTTTCGGATTTCATGGAACATATATATTTTTTTTTTCTTTTGGAAACAGGACAAGAAAAAACATATATAGTTAGATCACGCGTTAATGTTGTGTGTTTGTTCGTCTTGCATCTCACAATCCAAGTGATTTTTCTTGTGAAATTAGATGTCGTGTGCGATAGTATTAACCCACCAATAAGATACATGATTGTGTTACTATTATGTGTCGTCCATACCCCAAATTATTTGAATATAAGAAATGGACAGATAAAAGTATATTTAAAAGTAAATTCGTGTTAATTTTTATAGCATATAGAGAATGGTTTGTTCTAAAAAAAGAATTACAATACTTTTGGAGCGTGTTTCCGAGTGGTTGATAAAAAATAGAAGTGAATATTTTATAATTTAATTTATTTAAAGGTGGAGAAAATGGTTTAAAATTGAATGGAAATTATTTATATAATAATTTTGATTAAATTTTAAATCACATTTATAATAAAATATTTACTTTTATTCTTAAATAATTTTTATTAATTTTTTTAAGATGTTTTATAACTTTCTCAAGAACACACGTCAATTATGTTACGAAAAGGATGATAATTACTCTTTCATTTTGACATTTTAAAATAAGTATACTGTTCAAGAAATACTTTTGGCCGTTTCTTTTTTCACCTCCAAAGTTTTTCGTCAACCCTATAATTAAAATAAATTTTATTTTATTCTTTTGATTTATTCTTTATTAAATATGTATATATTTCTATAACTCATTTTTAAATTGAGTATTTTAAATACGTATTTTAAATTAGAGGTTTTAGAATATATTTTTATATTAGTTGTTTTTAAAATATATTTTAGATTAAGTGTTCTGTAATATATTTCTGAAACAACGAATCCAAAAAAAAATATAATGTAGAATATTTAATCTAGAAATAAATAACGAAATATTTAATTTGGAGTGTATTTTTAAATTGATTTATTTGAAATAAATTATAAATTGAGTACTCCACAACTCATTTCAAGTTAAAAATTATGTTTGAGGTTGAATAGTTTTGTTCCCTATATTTACTTTCAATCTAATTATCAATCTAATAATTACAAAACATTAACATTATAGTCTAAAATCAATCTTCAACAGAGATGAAACAACACAAGATGAAATTGCAAGAAGAACGGAGGTGTAGAGAGGTAGAAGAGAAGAAGTTTTTAAGGTTTCAAATAAAAATTAGTAAAAAGTTATTTTTAATAATTTTCCATAAATTATGGGGTGCACCAAAATCAGTTTATCATGGTTTGAGTTGGCCTGGGCCTACTAATAACCTACCTAAACCCGTAGTCCCAATCATCACTATTTTATCTTTCTATGCATTAGGATTTTCCTCCCTAATGTAATGCTACTTTTCTTTTTGGTGAATAATAGTGCTATTTTTGTATGTTAAGAAATAATCATGCTCTTCAGATATTCATGTAATAGGGGCATTCAAAATTATTAAAAAAAAATTAAAAACTTTGATTTTTATTCTAATAATTAATTCAAATTATGGATAAGAAATAAGAATAAAATTAAATATCTTAAGTATTTAAATATGGGTTTAGTTCCATTTTTTAGTTGTAATGGGTTTTGGTTTTTATCAAATATGTACACTTTGATTTTATCTTTATTATTATTTAGTTTTAAAAGAGTTACGTTTTGATATTTACATGAGAAAAAATTATATTGAAGAAATTATTATTATTATAATATTAGAGTCAATCAAAATTTATTAAATAATATAAAACTATTATTATTATTATTATAATGTAATTATAATAAAAAATAACGAGTAATAAGGTTTTATTAATGAGTTCCACTATAATAATGAGTATTGTTCAGTATAATTCTTAAATCAAGAAAGGAGGGAGGATACAAAATGAAGTATGATGCAGGAACACCACTACCAACAACTCTATCATCACTAACACCATCACAACAAGATGACTATCACCACGAACACGCATCAGCGAGTGACGAAGGATGACAAAGCAAGGAGAGAGATGAGTGTGCCTGGGAGTAGTAATGCAAAGGAGAGCAATTATTTTAAAGGAACACTATAAAAATGAAGAGAGATAAGAGAAGTCAAGTTTGTGGAGAAAATGAAAAAAAAAAAAAAGAGAAAAAAGTTAAATAGTATATTAGATATATAATGATAACTTTGTAAATAATTATTATCATTTATAACATACGACAATAATTATTTTATATTTATCATGGTATGTTTACTATCTTATCTATTTAATCGATATTGAATACTCCTCGTTTAAAGATAGACTTTTATTTCAAATATATCACCTTATATGTTTTTGATAATGATTTGAATATAATCATCATTCATACTATTATCTTTACTATGTTTTATATTAATAAATAATTTTTTTAACAAATTTAAAAAACATTAAAAATCATTAAATTCATTTAAAATAATAATGACAAAAATATATATATTAACTCATTAAAATACAAGATAGAATATATATATATATATATATATATATATATGTGTATATATATATATATACATTGGTAAATATTTTGGGAAGTTTGTAAGTCTCGGATGACTTGAATCGATATAAATAATAATTTATATACACTATTCTCTTAACTTAACAAGACGTCTTTTAAGGACAAAATTATAACAGATTCTAAAGCGGACAATATGTCGACATAAAAATTTATCTTAAAGATGTTATTATACCACAAACATAAAATCAAACATTGATGCTTACTCGTTGAATTGATATTTAAATCTCACTCTCTCTTAATATTAGACTAGAGAATAAACTATAAATAAATTTATTTTAATAAAACAATATTAAAATATCATATATATATATATATATATATATATATATATATATATATATATATGCGTTAATTCTAACTCCCTTTTTAAAACAATTTCTTACCAAATTTTACCTTATCTCTCTTTCATTTTATTTTGAAAAAAGAAAATTGCAACTGTACTTTTCTTTTACTACTTATCATTATCCCAAAACAATAAATATACTAAAAAATAGATGTTATATTTGAGAGTTATAAAAAAATAAATAATTCATTCAACGAAAAGAATTTCCCCATCAAGTACTAATCTCTTTTATTTTATTTGTTTTTAATAATGTAATCTATTTATTTATTTTTATTATTTATTATATTTTGGTTATTATTAATTTAAATAAAATAAGACCTAAAACAAGACAATGATTCAACGAATTTATTAAAACAACCAGAAAATATATAAAAAAATTATTGCGCTAATGCACGTACTTTCTTTAATTTGTTGGGCTCCGACAGCTTTGGGCCCTAGATCACCAAGTCATAGGTTGGCCCTGTACCTAACCATGATATAACAAGTGTATGTAACACCTAATTTTAATAATAATAAAAATAATATTCTATCTAATCTATATAAAAAAAGTAACCAATGATAGGTTTTTATAAATGTTAATACAAGAAAAATCTAAACACATAATAAAAAACAACCATAGGTCTTTTTTTAGGTATTAGTTCACTATTTTCCTATTTTTTGTTGTGTTTAGGATTTTTTTCAAAATAAATATTATCAATTTTTTTTTTCTTATAAGAGCATTTTTAACGGTGGCTTTTTATATGAACCCACATTGGTTCTTAAGTGGGACCTACAGTAGCACATCATATTTAAGTAACTTTTTTCAATTTTTTACAAATTCTTTCTAATGGTAGATTCTTATAAGCAACTCACCATTCAACTACTACTTTTGACTTTAATAGGACCCGCTATGTCACTTGGTGAGAATCGTGGGAACAAACTAAAGAAAATTGGAAAAAATAACTCTTAAAAACGTTGTGATGTTTTACTTTTCAAAATTGTTGTTGTCATATCGGATTATTCCAGCGACATTTCTTATAAGTACCATTGTGTATAAGCAACGGAGTCCATAAACAATTTTTGTTGGAGTTGCTCTAACTAGCTTGTTTCAATTTTCCTAATTTTGGAGAGGTTAGGATTTTCAAATTAAAATATTTTTGTTTATTTTATTGTGTTCAAATTATTGTGTGCAGTTTCCCCAAATTTTTGGGTTTAGGGTTTTCAAATAGAAATATTTGTCTTTTTTTTTTGTCTTTTATGCATTATATTTCGTTTTTTCTAATCCTTGGTGTTTATGGTTTACAAACGTTACGTTTTCCTTAAGGTTTTGGTCTTTTGAGGACCAGACATAATCCCTGACTACTGTTACATGCATCAAAATGAAAAGTGAAGTGCTTTTATAGAAAATAGTGAATCGCACTAATGTATTAACTTGCCTTGTTTGGGTAGGATCAAATGTTGTTTTTGTAAGATCTAAACTTTAGAATTTCTATGCTTAAAAGTTATGTTTACATTCTTAATAGGAGAACTTGAAATTTTAATTTGTTTTTCAACAATATAAATATGTGTTGTTTTCATTCGGTCGTGCTTCTCTTCATTTCTAATGTCTCTTAGGGTCTGTTTGTTTCTAGTGATGGAAACATTGAGGATGCGAAAATGCATAAATTTCATGCATTTCAATGTATAATTAAAAAAAATGAGATGAGAGGGAGAGACTGGTTATTGGAAACTGTGAAATCAGTACTTTAAAAACACATTGGAAAATGTAACTTTCTTTTCATTTCTCAACTCTCTTAATGCACGTTTGTTTTCAATGGAAACATTCAAGGTGTGAAAATGCATAAATTTCACCCATTTTAATATATATAAAATTGAGTTGAGAGGGACTTATTATT